CTTCAGCTCCCAGAATTCCCCAGCCAGCACGCCGGCTGGGGGATTCTGGGAGCTGAAGGCCACTCATCTTCCAGTTGCCAAGGTTGAGAAACAACTGCCACAGACTAATATAGCTCTCCTTCTACAATGTCCACAAGAACCAGAAACTAAGAATTACGAAGAGAGAATGAAGGACTGGGGAAGGTTCAGCCGTGAGAAAAGAACCCAAAGAGCAAAAGGAAGTCCTCTCTGAATGCCTGAGGGGCTACACGGTAGTCCTTCGGGTTCGAAGAAGACACGCCGTGGGCGGGGAGGTGGCTCTGCAGTCCCAGTCGGGAAGCGCAGAGCCCAGCACAAGGGGGGCCCTGGAGGTCCGCTGCTTTCTTCTGTGATGCCACACGTGGCTTTCTGTCAGCTTTTGGCAGGGCCTGTCTTCAGAGCCCTGGAGGCTTCAGAGCACAGGCTCGCCAGCAGGTTCTGCCAGCAGCCACCGCTTCCCTCGGCTGGATGCCACAGTGGCGCAGGGTTTCTTCCACAGCATCTCTGTGGCGCTTGCCAGTTTCTCTCTGGGGTACCGGAGTCTGGGAAGAGACCTCGAGGTCAACCACCCGAGCGCTACAAAGATGCCGAGGGGCTGTAATACAGGCGGAAGTCAGCCCCAAAGCTCTGCATTCCAGGTATGGTCAAAAAAGTCAAGATGGCAGCCACAATGGGGCCACTGAAGCTCCCCTTGTTTTTTTTACACGCAAAAAATCCAGGAAGGGTTTCGACTGCACGGTTGCAGCGTCCGTCTTGACTTTTACGACCTCGCTCTGCGGACAGCCCTGACTCTGTTGCTTTAGAGCAGTGCTTCTCAACCTTGCCAACTTCAAGACGGGTGGACTTCAACTCCCAGAATTCCTGCCGGCTGGGGAATTCTGGGAGTTGAAGTCTGCCCGCCTTCAATTTGCCAAGGTTGAGAAGCACTGTCCTAACTATTCTGAGTAAAAGTCACGAGGCGGCACGGCGCGGCGTGAGCCTTGCAGGTCGCCCAAGCCCTCGTCACGTCGCAACTGGAGGACTGGCCCACTTTGCAGGACGAGGTCCGAAACCCACTCGCGATTCCCGCCCGGGCCTCTCCGAACCGCGGGGCGGGGGGTGCTGCTCACCGTCTCCTGCAGCCCTGTCCGTAGAAGCCGGCCGGACAGGCCTCGCGGCAGAACTTGCCCCGGTAGCCGGGCTCGCAGGTGCAGGTCCCGTCGACCTGGTTGCACTTCCCCATGTGGCACTGGCAGTAGCGGTCGCAGCGGGGGCCGAAGGTGCGGCCGCGGCACTGGCAGCGCCCCGTGAACTGTTCGCAGGGCGAGCTGCTGCAGGCGCACTGGTTGTTGCAGGGGCGGCCCCACCAGCCCGGCTGGCCGAGGCAAGGGGCGGGCCTCTGGGCGGACTTGGGGGTT